GTCTACGTCGACGATCTACTTGCTGCAAGCAGCAGCACTGCGATGCTGAAGGAGCTGAAGGAGCTGTTGGAGGCCGCCTTCGAGCTGCGCGAAATCAGCCCGGACAAGAAGTATCTCGGGCTGGAAATCGTGCGCGACCGTCCTGCGAGGAAGCTGTGGCTGCACCAGCAGTCGTACGTCGACAAGCTGCGTCGGCGTTTCATCGACGAGGAGCAGACCGGGCGAGTGCCGAAGACGCCGGTCTCCGTCGACGCCTACGCAGAGCTGATGTTCGACGACGAGGAGTTTCAGTCGCGCGAGGAAGCAGAGTACTGCAAAAGGTCGGCTCACTGCAGTTCGCGGCCACCACGACGAGGCCCGACATTGCCTTCGCTTGCAGCAAGCTCGGATCCGGCCTGACTGTGCGGAGCGACAACCACTGGCGTGAGGTCGATCGCTGTCTGCACTACCTCGCTGAAACTCGTGACGCCGCTCTGGAGTTCGGCGGCGGACCAGAGTCGCTGGTTCTGGTCGGCTATGCAGACGCCGACGACGCAGCCGACAAGCAGAATCGGACGAGCACGGGCGGCTACATTTTCATCTTCGGAGGAGCCGCAGTTTCGTGGTCGAGCCAGCGCATCAAGTGCGCAACGCTTTCATCGACCGAATCAGAGTACGTCGCGGCCACCGAAGCCGGCAAGGAGGCTCGCCGTCTGCGCTTCCTCCTTGCAGAATTCCGCCTGCTCGACCCAAGGAAGCCGACTGTTCTGCACGTGGACAACCAGTCGGCAATCAAAGTCGCAGAGGGCTTGGGGCTCAAGGGCAACCTCAAGCACATGGAGCGACGCTACGCATGGCTGCAGCAGATGGTGAAGCGCGGGAAAATTGCTCTGCAGTACATCCCGACCTCCGAGCAGCCGGCGGATTTTCTGACGAAGGCGCTGCATTTTCCGGCTTTCAACCGGTGCTCCGTCGCCATCGGCCAAGTGCGTCTGGCCGACGTCGGCGACGGGGATGACGAGGTGCAGCAGTAGGTGCCGTGCCCTTTTGCACGGCTGGTGCGGTGTTCTACGTGCTTTGTGTTGGGTGCACGTAGAAGGAGTTTTCTCCTTTTATTCTATCCCTCTGGGTTCTGGGTGGACCTTGTGTGTGGGGTGCCCAAGCGTGAGCGCGGCAGGGGAGTGTAAAATGAAATGGCCCCGCCCTCGCTTGAGCGTAGCTGATCTCGCTGTCGACAGGAAGTTCGCGATGGATTGGTCGACAAAATGGGCTTCTGCAGTTCGGCAGAAGTTGCGGTCGAGCAGGTTCTGCTCGACGGATTCTGGTCGACGGTCTCTGCGCGACGGTCTCCTGTCGAAGAGCGCTGGTCGAAGAGTTCTGGTCGAGAAGTTCTGCTCGGCGGATTCTGTTCGACCGAGCAGTGTCGAGCTGATCGACCGAAGTGGCAGAGTTGTGCGAAACTCTGCGAAGGCGTGCGAACTTTCGCCCAGGAGATTTTGGCAAAGTTCTACCTGCGGAACGGCATCACGTGGTCGACGGCGCGCACCTGGCGAAACCGACGACACGTTTTCTACCTGGCACCTGCGCAATGTGCCTGACGGTGAAACCGCCAACCTGCACCTACTTGGTAGGTGCGCACATCTGCGCAGATAGACAACCTGCGACCGTAGAAAGTTACCTGCGATTGCAGTGCTGGCAGACCGCGCACAGTGCAACGCTGGCAGATTACTCTGCTGCAGCGTTGGCAAGCCGCTCTTCTGCTGCGCTGGCAGATTTTGCCCTTTGCTAGGAGTTCAATGCCATTCTAGTCTTTTGTTCTGCATGCCTCAATTGTACTCTATTCTTTTCCTATCAACTTTGTTATTGCAAGTTGTTCTTTCCTTAGTGGAATTCTTGCCAAACTTCTCAGTGAACATAGCAAGCAGTAAGAACGCTAGCAGAGCGCTACGATCACTCGCACAACCCCGTTTCCTCCTCCATAGTCCACTCCCGTTGTGTAGTGACTCTCCGCATGTATGTGATACGTATGTGTCTCTACGTGAATGTATGCGTACTTGTGTATCCGTGTGTATGTGGGTGTGTGCGTATGTGGGTGGGTGCGTATGCATGTGTGTGTGTGTGTGTGTGTGTGTGCATGCGTGTGAGTGGGTGTGTGTGTAAACGTATATATCTATCTTTGTGTATGTTTTTTTTTAATGTGTGGATGCGAGTATATGTATGAATGGGTGTAGGGTTTGAGGTTTAGGCTTCTTTACACTGCCTCCCAGTGCAACAGTGTAGGTGGTGCCGTCGCTCTCCCACAATGCATCCAACAAGGTCATGCGTCACGTGCTGCGAAACATCTTCACCCACCGCCTGCTCGCCATGCCTGCCAGCACAGCCCCCACTAGGGGACTTGTTGGAACTACAAGGCATGCTACACCTTGACTTTAGCTCTGGTGGTTTGTCCTGTCGTGTAAGTATTGGTACTGTCCTCCTCCTCCCTCAAATACACTTCATTTTAAAAATATGTAACTGTGCGTATTCTAAGCCGGCTTCCTCTCCACTTTTACCGAGCATATACTGTAAACACTAAAATTTCAGTCGTTAGGTCATCTGCGGTACCACGTATGACATATGAGCTCGTTACAACCATTCGCTTCATTACGAATTTCCGGACTCGTGCATGCACCAATGGGATTCATTCCCCGCACAATGCATTTTTCCATATTAAGCGATAGCACAAGCCTTTAGCAACTCCCACAAACTCACACATTACCATTATGTAGTTCATGTCTACGCATGCCTCCAATTCACTTGTAACACTTGATGATCAAAGCCATTTTGGAGTCCGTTTGGCATGGGAATGGGAAAGATAGCTGGTGGGCGTGGGTTGGGGGAGGGTGTTATGAGTTGCAAAGGGAGAGAGCGCATAATTCCAATTAAATAGTAAATAGAATGCCAATATAAGGAGGGACCCTAGCTAGGCAGAGACCTCGGAAGTCGAAGGAGGTCGTGTGTGGTCGCCGAGTCTGACAAGACGTGAGACAACATCGGAAGGCAAAGTGATATGACCGAGCCTAGTCATACAATAGTTGGAGTTGCACGAAGTATAGCGTGAACGAAAACAATAATGCAAAAATCCTCACTGTACCTAACCCCCATTTGTAATAAGGATGGTCAACACCAGGTAAGCAACGCTAGGAGAAATATTTTCTGAAGTACCGGGTGTCCTTGAGAAGAGACTGGGGTGTAAGCCATTCTTCCCCTGCGTTTAGTAAAGTAGTGTTTCATATTTCAAGTATTTACAAAGCCCTTAGCTGCAGTAGAGAATATCGCTTTCAAGTATCGCTTTCTTTTATGAATATCGCTTTCTGGTTCACTAGAAGTATGATGTCGTCACTGAACAACCCTTTACTGTAGCGGAAGGGTATAATCCGTTTATGTCACTGAACAGGTGCATTAGCGAATAGGCACTCTGGCATAGCTACATATCTTATTATAATGCTCAGCGTGACCAATAGTTACTATTACAATCAAATTTCCGCTACTCATTCAAGCATAGTACTATCCAAGAGTGTTATGAACCTACTGATCATAGGAACAAATATATTCCTTAGCCATCACAAAGGACACTTCAGCCCAATATAATACGAGAGCAACTTGAGTTTCCTAGACCTCTTTTTTACAACTCCAGCTAAGTATGGGAAGTACAGCTGGTTCTGTCAGACGTCCATTGGAGATCCCCAATTGATCTTAGGGAAGGGTTACAGGAACGTTTGCCTGGGGGGTTATGGGCGCACTTACCCGCTACACAAACAAGCCCTTTTATCCAAGTGGTTAGTGGCTGGGATTCTGACAAGTTCTTCATCACCCCACTTAAATGAACAAGAGCTGTATAAAGTGCAACAAAAATAAGTACAATGCTTCGACAAAGGGATGACTAGCATTAGCAATGTGACTGAGTTTTGAATTTGAGCCCCTTTTCAGCGGCTCGACGGCTCGCACTCTTCAACGGCTCGACGCCTTCTCGTTGGTCAAGCTATTTCATAAGGGTAGTTTGAGAATTAGTGAGGGTAGAGTTGCACATTTCCTTAGCTAGATGACAACAGTAGCAAATCTGTCTATGCCAATCCGTCCTCTACCTTAAAGCATTAAGCATGAGTTTCAACAGACGGAATTGCTCCTAGTTGTCTATTAATAGCTGTCAAGAACGGAATGATTGATATTTTACTAAGGTTAAATAAGGTACATAAACCTAACCCTTACTATTGTACCCCATATGACACACATCACTAAGACTATAACATCTGACACACCCCAATAGCCTAAGTGAGGGGTGTCAGACAAAGCAACAACGTACGGTCACAAGACCAGTCACAAAGAAACAAAGCTCAAGGTGGATCACAACGTCACCACACACTCTGAGCACAAGCAAAAGAGTCGCAACGCCAATTTAAGAGTCCACAAAGGTATATATAAAGCGTACAAACAAAGCAAGCAGAGAACTCAAGACTACCCAAGGCAAGAACATATGCCAACAAGACCTAACTGCACACAAAGCCTCTGGTGGACACAAGGCGGAAGGGCCTTCGTCAAGATGTCTGCAGTGTCGAACTCCACAAAGTCGAAGCGAGCCTGTCCACGCCTCTGCAACTCTCGCAGAAGAAAGTACCTGACGTTGATGTGCTTCACTCTGCTCTCCAGTTGCAGCTCTCGACGGAGGAGAATCGATGCCTTGTTGTCAGTGAACAAGGTCGGTGCTGAGAGCAAGAAGGTCAACCAACGCAGCTCCTGTGCAGCCATGGCTCCAGCGTAGATCTCAGCCTCAGCGGTAGAGGTCAAGACCGAGGAGGAACGCGTGGACCTCCACGAAATAGTTCTAGAGCCCAGGCTGAAGCAGTACCTCTGAGTAGACCTGTGAGTCTCGGTGTCGTCAATGTAAGAAGAGTCATAGTGTCCAGTAAGTACGACACCCGAAGAACCAGCCTCACGCCTAATGTCGTCGCTAGATACTTTGCGACCCTCACAGCAGCTGTCCAATGGACTGGACTGTGTCTCACTGGCGCAACAAAGCGAGCGAGGATGCTGAGAGGGAAGGCGAGGTCCAGGCGAGTACAAGTCATCAGGTACATGAGGCAGCCCACAAGCTCTACGTAGGGACCACTAGGCTCAAACGGCTCGTCAGGAAAGGGTCCAGTGAGTCTGTGGTCAACGGCAAGAGGTGTGCGCTGTACTGTGGAGTGCTGAAGCTCGAACCGCTGAAGGACCTGCTGCACCATGTGTGACTGTGTGCGTGTAATGGTGCGAGTGGCTATGTCTCTGGTAATCTGCAGGCCAAAGTAGTGGCGCAGCTCAACAAGGTCAGTGTACGTGTGTCTCTTCTGCAGTTCACGCTTCAATCAGCCAAAACAACCTTTTCAGCAGTGGCGAAAACTAGGTCGTCGACGTAGACCAGTACAAAGAACGGTGTGGAGCCACGACAAACAAACAGCGGCGGGTCGGCAGAAGACGGGTGGAAACCGAGGTAAGATAGGGTAGAACGAAGGGTGTTGTGCCACTCACGAGGAGCCTGACGGAGACCGTAGACCGGTCGCCTCAGCCTCCTTTTGGTCTCAAGAGGAAAGTGCCAGTGAAGGCAGAGGGTCGTCACAACCAGACCTCCTCGTGCACGCGTGACCTTGAAGGGAAGGCAGTGGAGAAGTTGAGAGAGTGTAGCTCGTAGTCTCTCTGTGCTGCTACGTGCAGTAACACCCGAAGAGTGGTCATCTTCGGGGTAGGGACGAAGTTCTGAAAGAAGTCAACTCCCTCGCGCTGACTGAAACCTCTAGCCACATAGCGCGCCTTGAAGACCGGAGGAGATTCCCGTGGCTGCTTCACCCTGAAGATTCACATGCCATCGACTACGTTCGCCCTAGGGGGGGAAACCCCGTCGACGTAGGTGCCTGTGGATATGTAGGAGGCAATCTCTGCATCCATGGCAGCTCTCCACTGAGAGGCCCAAGGCCCTGACACTGCCTCAGCGTAAGTGCAAGGAGTCGGTATGTCAAGGGCGTCGGGGTCTCCCTCAGGGGCGAGCAGCATGGCACAGAGATGAGGGGAAGTGGTTGCCAGGAACTCTTGCTCAAACTGCCTGTTCTTAGGGTGTCACAGCAAAGGGCAGACTCACCCCCGACGGCCAGAGGACTGGTAGGAGGAGCAGCCACAAGACTAATGGCTTAGTCAAGGCAGCGAGTATCAGCGAAGACAACGACAGTAGCAATAAGAGCCGAGACAGAGGAACGAGAGGCACGAGGGTCCGTAACAAGAGAGGCGAGAACACGAGAGAGAACAAGATGGTACGTGGGGTAGTAGTCAGTGAGAGGAGTAGAGAGGGAAGCAGTGAGGGTCGACGAGGGACGAGCATGAGGAAAGCGATGAGAGGCCCAAGTGTCAGAAAGAGGATTGGACAATGGAGGCTGAGAATGAGGGAAAACAATTGAGGAGGGGTCAGGAGGAAGCAAGCAGGGGACCAGAGACGGGAGGAGAGGGGGAGGAGGGAGGAGAGGGAGAGGGGAGACCGAGGGTCCGAAGACCAGAGACAGGAGGAGGAGGTGGCGGCTGCTGCTGCTGCTGCTGCTGCTGCTAGTGCTACGGCGGCTGCTGCGGTGGCGGCTGCTGCTGCTGCTGCGGCTGCTGCTCCTCCAGCTGCGGCTGCTGCTGCTCCAATTGCTCCTGCAACTGCGGCTGCTGCGCCTGCTGCTGCTGCTGCTGCTGCCGCTCCTCCAGCTGCTGTAGCTCCGGCTGCTGCCGCTCCAACTCTAGCCCATCTCGCTCCAACTCCAGCTGCTCCTCACGTGCACAACGAAGACGAGCTTGGTGCCGGGTCGGGTAGGGGTGGGGGGGAGGAGTAGTGCCTGGGGCGATGGTAGCCCCATGACCGCTCGCCCCAGGACCGCTCGCTCCAGGTCCGCTCTCCAAAGCACGAGTCGTACCACCCCCAGAGCCAGCACCACCAGCAGCAACGCGGCCAGTTCCAGAATCTCTAAAAAGCGGCACGCACACAGGAGCCAGACCGAGAACTCGAGCGGCCTACCCTCGGCGAAAAAGCGCATGACCCTAGGGGTCGCCATAGCAGAAGCAAAGAGGTGCGAAGTGCTGCTGCCGAAACCATAAACACTTAAAGCGGCTCAGTAGGGTGTGACTGGCAGAGTTGGAGGCCTAGGGCGCTACGGGACGCAGGGTAGTGCGCGACACGGCAGGACGGGACGGGCAGCGCGACGCGGAGGGACGGGACGGGACGGACGGCGCGACGGGGCACGCGCGGCGCAGCCGATAGGGCGCGCGCAGGGCAGCCGACAGGGCGCGAGCGGGGCATCCGACGGGGCGCACGCGGGGCAGCCGACGGGGTGAACGCAGGGCAGCCCACGGGGCGCACGTGGGGCAGCCGACGGGGCGCGCGCAGGGCATCCGACGAGACAGCAGGCGCAGCGGGCGCTAGGGCACGAGAGAGACGAGCGCGATAGGTGCTAGGGGACAGTACGGGCGTAACGGGCACTAGGGTACAGACAGGCTCGGCTGCTACTGATGTGAACGAGAGGAACGGGATCCGATAGGATTTTAACCTAGGTGATACCATGTGAAGAACGGAATGATTGATTGACTAAGGTTGGTTGGGGTACATAAACCTAACATTTAATGTTGTACCCCATATGACACACATCACTAAGACTAAAACATCTGACAATGGTCTCTGGGTGCGAGGCTCTCGTTATTAGTGTGATTTACCCTTCTACACTGATTATAAGGGTGATTTTTTTGGCTTACAATGATGTGTTTGGTTTTTTTTTGGAGAATTACTATTACACTGATGCATTGGGGTACCTTTTCCCTTAGCAAAGATTGCACTGAAGAGCGTACAGCCACCCCTCCCCCTCCCCCTGCCCCCCCCTCCCCCTTCGCCCCCCCCCCCCCCCCCCCCCCCCCCTCCCCCCCTCCTAGAAATCAGTCGGTTCGTGATTTTCGATGTTTCCTTCCGTGCACTCTGTTTGTTGGCAGCAGTCTCGTGTCTGATTGGTCTCGTGCCACGTGTCTCGTGTCGTTGTTCGTTGGTCTCGTGCCTCGTGTCTTGTGTCTGTTTGGACTCGTGCCTGTTTTCCCTTGCCAGCACGCCACGGAAAGTCACACTGCTGTTGCAAGGTAAAATTTCCGAAACTCGTGGTTACCTTGATTCATCAGTGTAATGAAAAAATGCACACTGCTCAGAAGGGTTTTTGAAATAGCTACACTGCGAATCATGAGTAGGCAAAATCCAAACTTAAGCCCTGTCTGGGTGCCCATCTCATTTCACGAAATCACAATGGGTGTCTAAAACAAAACAATTTGGTTGGTTAAAGTATCGCGGACTCGGTGTAAGCTATGGTGCGACGACTCGAGGTGTGAAAGGGGCTGTACAACTGGCTGGTAGGCTAGGATGTAGGAACTAGAGACTCTATAAGTAGGGTAGGTCTAGAAAGAAACATAGCTCTGATACTATGTTTGAGTAGGACGGCGGAATGTGTCGACTAGTGAGTAGGAGGGTACAAGTAGGAATGTCGAGAAGAGGTTGTTGCACCGTATACCAGGGACCCCACTAATAGCCTAACATAAATAACGTATATATTTATATTTATTATATATATTTGTTACAAGTAGTCATACATGTATTTTATCAGGAAGCATACCGTGATCTCCCGGTTTGAAGACCCCCCCGCATACAAGTCCCATGGGTCTTCTATCCAGACCAGGGGTCTTTTATTATGTCATTCCTGGAGAGGACCCGTCATTTGACATAAATCAATATAAGACCCCCCCTTTTTCTCATATTTATGTTTTTTAGGTGTTACATATACGTTCACGAACCCATCACCCCATCAGATGCAACGTATCTGATGGGGTGATGGTCGTGTGGTCAACACACCAATCAATAGCAGGGCGCTGCGCCAGCACCGTAAGGTGTTGCCGCCGTCATGCTTCAGTATGCGACGTGTGGCCTGGGGCGAGGTGCGCGAAAGTTGCGATATGGTTCCTCGCTTAAATGCAAACTCGAATTCGCTGGGGAAAAAAAACCGAATTCAATCAACACGCTTCCTTACATTTCTTATTTATGTAATTATTAGATGTTCAAGGGGTCTTATAGGGCCTCAGATGTCAGGAATTTTACCCTAAATTCCTGAAGTTTGACCCTCGTTTTTTATCATGACCCTGATGCATCAGCCTTTCTTTTTAAACAATCCTGATGTTTCAGTGTTTTTTTATTTCAAACTCTGATTTTTCATTGTTCTGTGTTTGAGGACACTGACGAGCAGGGCATGTGCTAGGATTTAGGGCACCCTGAGCCCTCAGGGTAACTTTTGAATTTTTTCTGAAATGCCCTGATTTTCCAGGGCAAAATTCCCTGGCCATCCTGAAATTTCAGGGCACCAGCAGAAATTCATCCGAATGATTCAGGGCAAAAAATACAAGGCACTAAAGAGGATGGAGGGGAAGGCACGAAAGGAGCAGGTTGCTCACTGGTTTCACTGCTGGCTGAGCAAAAACATTGGTGGGGGAGGGGTGGGGACAGAACTACTAGCACACACACCCCCCAGCCTCCTTCCTCCCCTCTCTCCCTCTCCCCCTCCACCCCTTCTCCCCTTCCCACGAGTCAGGGCATCCCTCTACATTCACCCTAACGCTTCAGGGCAAAATTTCACTGTTATTCTGAAATTTTAGGGCAAAACACATGGATCATCCTGACGTTGCAGGGTAAATTTCAGCGTCATTCTGAAATTCCAGGGCAAACTTAAAACACCATTCTGAAATCAGGGTAATCAGGATGTTTTGCCCTGATATCGTGGGCCCTGCTGACGAGTCAGTGTTGTATCGGGGTCGACCCTGAAACCGAAAGCTCCGTGATCATTCGGGTACCCACCGTGCACCTGACGCCACCCTGCGACTCGACCAAATTCAGCCGAAGTGGCTCTGGTTCCCCAGTTAGGACCTACGCCACCCTGTGACTCGGACTGTACTTGCCGAACTTGGGCATTGTGAAGTATGGGCAGTCTGATTCGCTAAGTTATGACAGCATAGCGGTACAATCAACTATGCTGATCAGTGTTGAGGATTTACAAACCCTGATTGATCAGCGTTTTATTTTTAACAACCCTGTAAAATCAGTGTTTTACACCAGACGACACTGAAAATCAGTGTTACCCTCCTAGGGACACTGAGTGCTCAGGGTACCCAAAAACCAATCTGAGGCCCTGGGGTCTTATGCACTATATGCCATTAAATAAGACCCCACAACCCATTTCAAGCACATTTAGGATAAGACCCCCGGATCTTCTAACCGGGAGATGAGGGTAACACTTATTGTGTCCTACACAGGTGGACCCGTTGCTCATACGGTACAGTTCTACAACCCCTTCAACCACTGATATCACCATAACAGCCATTAATCTTCCTTCCCACTAGAGCCTGTGATGGCTTGTGACGTTAGCTGTAGTTTTGCCCTGGCCAGCATAGTGTTGTTCCAGCAACACAAGGTCCTCCTCCATGCTCCTCACAGGTTGCTGACCCACCAGCAACTCATCTACCCTTGCTGCAGCACTTGCTCTCACATCCCCCCCTCCCACTTCCCCCCTCAGTGCCTCCAACTCTTGGGCCACTCGGGCCATGGAGGGGCGGGAGGCGGTGGGCATGGCAGTGCAGCTCACAGCCAGCTGGGCAAGGAGACTGATGATGTCATCTGGTGCTTCCATGCGGGGGTCTCTGAGGAGTGATGTCTTCCCACTAGCCACGAGTGCGCTTGCCTGTTAGGTGCGGTTTGAAAAAAAAACACACACACAGTGGGCACAAGGAGCGGGGAGATGGTGACGAGTCCTGAAAATTTCAAACGTTGCAGGGTAGACAACTGCATATAAAAGACAGCAAGGGACATACCCATTTGGAGATGGAGATTGGCTCCTTGTATTCGGACTCATCCAGCTCACTGCCTGGGTTCATCTCAGTGACTGTGGCCCCTCTGCCTGAAAGCAGCACCAGCGTCACAATGCCAAAGCTGGAGGAAACAAACAACACGGAGTGCACGCAAAGTTTGGAGAGCGGAGTGAAATTTGCAAGGTGAAACCTATGGAGCGCAAGTATAGCCAAAGAAAGCCGAAGAAAATAATGACGCAAGAGGAATTGGGGGAAATTGAGGACCTACAAGCATGACACCTGCACACATCGGCACGGCACCTGTACACATCAGCATGGCACCTGTAAACATCAGCAGCAGTGGTGACGTTGTGTGTTCTGGAGTATGCAGGGTCCACATAGCCCGCCGTTCCTAGCACTCGTGTGGAGCCCAGCGCAGTGCCCTCACCCACCCGCACCAGTCCAAAGTCAGCCACCTTGGCCTGATGAGACCCGCAAGGTAAGCAAAACAAGAGGCAACTTGAGAGGCGCCTCGAGGATAGACCCTGAGGGAGGCCCATGCAGGAGACATGATTTTACGTGGCAGCAGAGTTGAGTAGCAGAGTTTTTGTTGTGTAGACTTGATTGAAAAAACCATTGTGTAAGAAATGTTGGTGGTAACTAGTTTCAGCTTTTTGAGCCTTCTTAGAACACAAAGGGAAGAAAGGAAAAGCAAGCAGTCTAATTACCGATCCCAAGGACTCCATCCTAAGGCATTCCTTCACAGGGCCAAGATGGTAGGGGAAAGGCTAGATGAAAACAGAAAGAAACTCTGAGCGAAAATCAAAAGCTTTCCAACTCGTTTGGGTAACCTCCAAGCAAGAATCTCCTTGCGTGCAGAAAAAACACACCGTGTGACATTGTAACGAGCTGACTTCTGAGACGACTCCATGTCAGAGGTCCACTGGAGATCCCCGATGATCCTAGTGAAGGGTTACAGGCACGTCGGCCTGGGGGGTTATGGGCGCACTCACCCGCTATATAAACAAGCCATTTTATCCCAGTGGTTAGTGACTGGGATTCTGACACTCCAAAGTTGACCCCACATGCACCACGTTAAACTCCACCACCTTGGCTTGATGAGACCGCCCAAGGCAGGCCAACAAAGCGAGCACAGAGGGTTTGGATAGCACATATGCACCATGTGCCATACAAAAGGAAAGCATAAGTGAATCGTAATTCCACCTGCATGTGAGCATCGATGAGGATGTTGGCTGGCTTGATGTCCCGGTGCACGATGCCAAAGCTGTGCAAATACTCCAAACCATGCGCCACGCCTATCAGAATGTTCACCCGCTGTAGGAGAGTCAGACTCGTGGGAGCATCTGGGGGAATTGCGATGATACACAAATGGTGCCATGGCATTAGTGTAAGTAGCACTTCATAGCCAACAACGGGGCTCGTTTCCCCCGTTACACTAGGAAATCCACATCCAAGAATAGGGATGAAAAGGAAAATGTGAGGTCGAACTGAAGACTGAACATCACGAGATATTTTCGCGAACACTCGCAACTCTTCACGAACACACACGGAAAAACGAAAAACACAAACTCATGAACGCTCACAAACATTCATGAACACCAAATTTGCGCAGATTAACGACTACTCGCGAAACAGCGTAAACGAACACAAAATCTCGGAATTACAGACGTCCATACAAGAACATTCACAGTCGTTCAAGAGTGCAACCTTTCACGAAAACACACATAACTCATGAAGCACTAACGTAAAACACAACAATGTGCATCTCACACACCAGAAATTGCATCTAAACGAAACACTCTATTTTATTTCATCGTCAGCAAATAAACGTTAGGTTGACGTAAAACCATGTACTGCACCCAGTTTTTTAATAATTTCCAATCATGTGAGTTGAAAATGCGACGAATTTGCTTAGACACAACATAATATTGGAACAAACAATTTGTGATTCACGGCCTAATTATTGGGTGTAAAATTGTGAATCTAACCGCATCGAGTTTGGATTTTCACACGATTGTCGGTTCGACATTGAAGATTAAACTCCCTTTTCATTCTCACTCGTCTCGAATTTCTTTGTACTGAAGGCCAACTTCCAAAAACACATATAAGACAAAAAAAAGATGAATCAACAAACCTTGGTACCTACCTGTGCTGATCCACCTCTGGAGGTCGCCATTGGCAATGAACTCGTAGATTAGGACATTCTCAACCCGCGTGTTCACATGGCCTCCCACTGCATACCCCAGCAGCCGCACCAGATTGGGATGGTGCTTCGTTGCCATTTGAGCCACCTGCAAACATATAGAAGGGGAAAATTTCCCCACATCATTTCACAATGCCAATGTGCGACTGTGAGCGTTGCAATATCTTGACACAAACACACCCTCAATGTTATTTTTTTTCCATAGTCCTATAGTCGCAAGATCATGGGTCATTTCCACACCCATAGTCGCAAAATCAGGACTCTCCTGCTACTAGTCGTATCGGCCCCCACCTCTATGTGGAAGTCGGTGGTAATGACTTTGGCGCGTTTCACGGCCCACAGTGTGGTGCCATCCTCGGGGCACACCCCGCGGTACACGTCTCCATACGCGCCCGACCCCAGCAGGCACTCCTTGGACCAGTTGTTGGTCGCACGAGCCACCACAGCCAGCGAGTACTGGTGGCATGACGTGGGTGCACTCTGCAAGCTGGAGGCAGCTGAGGCTGCTGGGAGTAGGGTGCAGGGAAGGACCACCGACATGGGGAAAGACAGCAAAGATAATTGTTTGTATCAGCACATGGATGGAAGGTCCACCCGGTGAAGGCGCAACAGGCACTGGTTGTGAGATCATTTGCCATACGTATCTATGAAGTCTAATAGATGATAAGGTTTGTGCTGTAGTGGGAAAGGTGGGTGAGAAAGGATGTCACCTTTGTAGGATGCTGTGGTACGTGAGACAATCCACCAAGCAGAGCCCACAAGGAAAAGCAGCAAGAGGATTGATGCTGTCACGATGCCAATGATAGCTCCCACAGACAGACCGGAGGGAGAGGAGACGTCAGAAGAGGAAGGGGGCGAGGGAGATGGAGAGGAGGAGGTGTCGGTTATTTTAGTGGGCGATGGTGGTGGTGGCGAGGTCAGGGAAGGAGATGCAGGGGGTGGTGATGGAGGAGGAGAAGCGGCAACTCTTGGTGGGCTTGGAGCTGAATTGGTTCATGCATGTTCATGCACATGCACACAGAATCAATCAATGGCAGTAGTAACTGGTTATGCACGATGTGCTTAGACGGGCAAGGATTTTGTTAGCAAGCGCTACAGAGGAGGATGAGTGGGAGAACTTCGAAGTAGATTTTACACAAGTTAACAGCTCAGGAGAGCAACAGAACCCTATTGTAGCATGCAATTTAGGCTGGTTGGTTAACTCAATGGGGGTTGAGAGTGGTACTTGGTCAGCACCCACGTGGTGAGGTGGATTTGCCAAAACATCACAGCTCTTTGCGTTGGTGCGTGGCTTCATCCTTATCAGGGTATTTGTAGCCATCAGTAGAGCATGCAGATATACATGAAATCTCAAACACTAGGCATTTGATGGCTCATCCTTAAACAGGCTGGCATGTCGCAGAGTTGACTGACCAGCAGGGATTGGAATGTCTCACCTTTACCAGTCACACATGTTCTACAGAAGCTCTTGCACTCCTGGCAGAAGGCCATGTCATTGGACTGCCGAACCACACAGCTGGAAGCGTCTGGGGGACATGTGAGGCCCGAGCCTGTTATGTTGCTGCTTGATCGTGGGGCATGCGTGGAGTGGGGAGTGGAATGAAGGAGGGACAAAGTAGACTGCGATACGATGGGATGATGACAAGAGAACACAACGAGGGCAGCCAATAGCATTTACATAAGAGGAGGATGATGCATGTGCTTGCATAGAGCGAGCACACGGGGCCGGGGGTCGAGACCTCTGGTGCATGGCACGTCTTTTGGGGGGCAGTCTACCCCTGCAATGGGTCGTGTCAACTCTGACCCATCGGTCGCCTGTCCCAATCCCTGCCGGCCCGTGAATGGTCTCCCAACCAGCGGCCCGAGTTGGGTCAGGTTTGGCCCACTTGCAGCCAAGCCCACTCCTTGAGGATGGAAAACGGCAACGGGAAAACAAATGAGTGACAAAGGCTCTATGTACGTTAACGCTATGCCAGAAAGAATGCTATTTTGAGATGCTGCTTTGGTAGATTGTGTAATAAGAGAAAAAAACATTATGGCGTTTGAATTGAATATATGCTCCACCTTAGTATGAGACATAAACAGGCACAGCCCAGTCTGTCAGTAAATTCTAGCAGATTTGTTGGATTGGGATTTCTTCAGAAAAATATTGGTATGCAGACACAACAAAGTCGTCAGAAGTTGGGATACAACAACGTTCAGAACAGGTGGGTGGGTCAATGCGTCATTCCCCCCCCAAGACTCTGTAGTGCAGTAAGAGGAGCAAGGCATGAGCAAAGGGCCGAGCTGTGGCTCGAATTATCAAGCCAGACCAAGACTCTTGTCATGACGTGCCGAGCCGGTCATGGGCTGACAACGAGATGGCTTGCTAGTCGGGTAAGTCGAGTCACCGACTCGACCGAAAGAATGACTCGCGAGTCAAATAACTCAATCTCGAGTCCGGCCTGACTCGACTCCAAAAGTCGAGCCACGACTCGGAAGGAAAAACCAACTCGACTATGACTCGACTCGACTTGACAGAAATCAGACTCGACCCAGACTTGACTCAGACTCGAGGATCCGACTCGACTCGACTTGACAGAAATCAGACTCGACCCAGACTCGACTCAGACTCGAGGATTCGACTTGACTCGACTTGACAGAACTCAGACTCGACCCAGACTTGACTCAGACTCGAGGATTCGACTTGACAGAACTCAGACTCGACCCAGACTCGACTCAGACTCGAGGATTTGACTTGACTCGACTTGACAGAACTCAGACTCGACCCAGACTTGACTCAGACTCGAGGATTCGACTTGAGTCGACTTGACAGAACTCAGACTCGACCCAGACTCGACTCAGACTCGAGGATTTGACTTGACTCGACTTGACAGAACTCAGACTCGACCCAGACTTGACTCAGACTCGAGGATTCGACTTGACTCGACTCGTGAGCATCTCTATTGAGAAGCACCCTCTGACCATGGCAAGCCAAGAGAGGCTCGCAAGCTCTCCGTCGCCACACTCTCCATTGACGAGTCTTACCCGCCGGCTTGCCACGAGCCGGGCTAAGATGGGTCCGTACGTTTTTGGAACCACGTAATCGTAATGTTACGCGTAAACGTAAACGTACGCGTACGTACGCGTAAATTCGCGTAACATATGTCCGGGCAGGGAAAAAAATTGTCAAGCGGGGCCGTCGGCTAAGGGCGCGGGACAAGAGGCAGGATTTGAGATAAACAATGTTGCAATTATGTGAGTGGGAGGAGGGGGGAAAGTGTGCTCGGGTTGGTAAACCAGCAGATGAAACCCGTCACCACAAACTATTTGGGTGGTGGTCGAAACATCGTCGCACCACCCTTTGGTTGTGCATCTACAGCCAAAAAGAGGGTACAAGATTGTTTGTTGGGCAGCCCAAAAAAACTCTAACCTGCCCGCAAACGTAAACGTATTTTTGACCCGCACACGTAACGTAAAACGTACGTAAACGTAAACGTAAAACGTACGTAAATGTACGCGTAATATCCAACTTAGGAGCCGGGCCAGGCTTGGCCCTTGCTCTTGCCAAACACTCACAAATACCAGAGATTCGTCAGGCCACCTAGAGCAGCCGGCAGAGGTCCTGAGAACTGGTTTGCACCAAGGGAACTGCACGGAATGTGAGGCAGAACATGAAAGGAAAGAGATTGTAATGAGAAAGTCAACTGTGGAGGCGGGCAGATGTACCAGTCCTTTATAAGGTATGAGATGAGATTTAAATCTGATGTTCGACTGTGATAGCGAGAGGAAGAGGGGAATGGGGGTGAGAAAAGGAGAAAGAGATGAAACAGGAAAGTTTCTCCACACATAGCTCATTTTTCAGTTGTTCTTTTCGAAATGCCTTTTTACAATGGGATTCAGGAGAAAAAGAAGTGAAAACAGGGAGGAAAACTTCGAGTATTGCAAGAGATATTTAACGAAGCATATTACTTCATCGGCTCGTGCCGACGGTCGAAGGCCGCTGCCGCCCTCTTAAGCAGTGCAATGAGATGGTATGAGAAGACAGCAGCAGCAACTACTACAATCACCAAGCCAATACAGGCAACCCTAAACTAAACCTCAACACACACAAGCGAAGGTACCGATGTGGATTTGTTAACAAGAATAGCTGTAGGATTGGAAATTACTGACCTCGTGCTCATGCCTACTCACAGACCAAAGAGACCTTTCAAATTGCATATGGCAGTAGGCAGAGGCCCCATGAACTGGTTTCCATAGAGATCGCTGACATGAATGCATGATTACAGGAAAAGGGAAGAGACACGAATGGCGACAGAAGAGGAAAAACGTAGAAAGTGGCAATTGTTGGAGAACATTGCATGTGAGCATGATACAAACCAGGAAACCGGATGTAATATAGGGACACTAGCAACCATGCACGAGCAGTCAGCAAGTCCAATGCTCGCCTTGTTTTTGCCCAAATCGTTTGAGGTGAGTAATATTCATAACCAATAATCTTCGGTATTGGCTGACTTTTGTCGCAAGTACAAACAAACTAGCAGCGACCCAAGTATTGCTCGCCTTGCCAAGAACAACCCCCCCCCCCCCCCCAATTAGCCAATGCACACGATCGCAACAGGACAGGCGACTGAGATCGCCCTGCCCCGCTTTGTACAACGCATGATCGCTGTTGCGATCACGCTGTACAGCAGGACCGAAAAAAATATCGATTGTGCTAAATCGACCCCTCGAGGGTGATTGTGGGTACAGTTCAGGGTGGTGCCGAGGGATTACGAAGGGTGTTCGGGGTTCACTCAAGATTCTGTTAAAGAACGAAATTCCAAGCCTCATCTTTTTCGACGTGGCAAAGAGGACCTTTCGCCAGTAAGTTGCACACGTAAGGCGACTAATTTCATTACAGGCACAAAATGGTGACAGCCTTTTTACAACTGTAAAGCGTTGGGAAAACAAAAATCCCACATGAGCCATCATGAATAGTTCAGAGGTGCTCTTATGAGGAGTCAGTAGAGGCGTTTGGAGGAAGCGTGAGCTAATAACAAATTTACTCTTAGGAAGTGAACAAAGCCAAATTCAGTTGAAGCTGGACAACCGGTTTCTAAAGCACACCTAGCGAATTCCTACAATGCAGTTTAATAACCGTTTGATGCTTTCCTTCACTTGTGCCTTAGGTTTTATTACTTGTACGAGATAAAACACAACAATGTTTTCTCGCTTTCAGCCTGAAACTCCACTACTAGGTATTAACGAGAGTAGAAACGTCAGGAGACGACGAGGTGGTGCTGGAACGCTGCTCGGCTTACAGTTATTGCAAGCCCAGCTAGTGTTGCCTTCTTGAGCATTAATGGTCTTAGCTGGGAAGCGACTCTTTGTCACACTCAAAAGGCTTTTGAGTGGAGTATAGGCTGCTTGGTATCAGTTAATAGAGTAAGATATATAGCTTCCGCGTAGTGTATCCTCGCCGGACCCAACCCAACTTGACTCTCCGTCAAGATTTGCCAACACGTCGACATGACTTGATCATGGGTCATACATGCCAATCGGGTTGGGTTATTGCAATATTTAGAGCATCCCAACCCATGTCTACAGGACCCAACCCGACCCGGCTTGATCGGGTCAGGTCGCCCCGTTTTTTTAACCTACTACCCTAACTTCCCTGTATCTGTGCATTACACATTGTTATGATGTACACATCAGCAAAAGAACGTACCTAAGAACACCCCTGATTTCACCTCGACCATAGCTTAAGCATGAAACGCACGGCTTGCTCGAGGAAAACGTGAAGGTAAACAGGGAAAGCAATTGAAGTGCAGGTGAACATAAAGGACGGCCAAGATGGAAGCCCTGGTGCCAAGTCGCACAGTGGACCCTTCATGAAGGGTTACAATTTTACTCGCTGGGATTTTTTTCTCCTCGCGATAATTTTTCTACTCGCTATTCAATGCAAGTAGTCGTTGCAAGGAAGGAAGTATATTCTTAGCTCGTTGCTCGCGTCTAGAACCAATTAGTATGGAATACTCACATCGATGTAATATTGGTCATCTTTAGAATCCAGGCAGGAAACGTCTCCTTCAACCTGTTGTCGTTAAGAATCCTGTTGGTAAGCAGAGATAGGCCAACAGTGGACATTTGACAAACTCTGAGGTCGAATCAACTTGCCACGCCATTCTCACTAACATACGTCTGTTAGCGGCTTCTGAATCATATGTCTATCAAACTGCTCATTTCCTCATCGGCTAGGTGTCCCATGGGTTGGTGCCCAACCTGATTCGGAAAAAAAATAAAAGAAAATAAAGAAAAAAAGAAAGAAAGGAAGGAAGGAAGGAAGGAAGGAAGGAAGGAAGGAAGGAAGGAAGGAAGGAAGGAAGGAAGGAAGGAAGGAAGGAAGGAAGGAAGGAAGGAAGGAAGGAAGGAAGGAAGGAAGGAAGGAAGGAAGGAAGGAAGGAAGGAAGGAAGGAAGGAGGGAAGAAAGGAAGAAAGCAAGGAGTAAAGCAAGGAATAAAGCAAGGAAAGAAAGAAAGAAAGAAAGAAAGAAAAAAGAAAGAAAGAAAGAAAGAAAAAGTAAAAAGAAAGAAAGACATGCAAAAAGAAATAAACCAAGGAATGTTAATAGCTATAACGTTATGCGGAAGCGATTAAAGCTTGAACTACAAACTTAACTTGGCAACACTTAACATCACTTGCAACCCTTCGAGTGTGACAGCTTGTCACCTCCTAGCCAAGGGCATGAAAACAGCAAGTGAGTAGTTATGCCTTGCTCAGCTTGTAGGACGAGCAAACTGGTCGAGAAAAGTTTCGGCAGAACCAAGGTAATATTTATACTCTCGTCAATACGAAGTAGTAGAATGCGAGCTTGAAAAAACGCGAATGCATTAGATTAACTTCGACAGGTACAAGCACACATTTATATAAAATCTACGCA